GCCATTCCTGTGCGCCCTGAGGAGCCAGTGCGCCCCGCGGGCCCTGTGTTCCCAGCCGGCTCTGTGCTCCCCGCAGGCCCTGGGCTCCCCGCTGGCCCTGTGTTCCCGGCCGGTCCTGTGCACCAGGCGGGTCCTGTGCTCCAGGCCGGCTTTGTGCTCCTCGATGGCCCTGTGCTCCCCACCAGCCCTGCGCTCCCTGCCGCCCCCGCACACCGCGGGGGCCCGGGTTTCGGCAGCCTCCCTCCGCAAAGACCCTTCCAAGTCTTCCTAGCAGCAGATCCCAGCGCCTCCAGCTTCAGCCAGGCCTGCTACGACCCTGAGCAAGGCGTCCAGGGCACGGTCATCGCTGCATCTGCTCCAGATCCAGATCCAGCTCCGAGTCCAGACCCAGCTCCAGCTCCAGCTCCAGCTCCAGCTTCCGATCCAGCTCCAAGTCCAGCTCTAGATCCAGCTCCAACTCCAACTCCAACTCCAACTCCAGCTCCATCCAAGGCCACACTCTCGCCTCAGGGCCCCGACAATGTCGGGAATTTCTCTTCAGACCCTGATTTCACAGACCTGCTCTCACACTATTGCTTCTCTGAGGAGCCCCTCTCCTCCCCTAGGCCCTGGTACGACTTGGTGGCTGACAGCATACGACTTTGTGACTGGCGTGGACCTCTTCCAGTGACTGGATCTCTGAGGGAGTGTGTCCCCTCCAAGTCCTGCAAATGCTGCGGGGCCAGAGGGGACCCGTGTATTCGCATAGGTGTGTGTGAGAAGTGCAGGTCAGTGCGTCTCAGCAGGCAGATGCTCTAGTGCAGAGTTGGCGCACCTCTATGCATCCACCCTGGGGAGGTGGCCTGGGCGCTGCCCCTCACTCCCACCCCCTTTGGTGGCCACTGCGCATGCGGGTGGCGGCAGGGCCTGGGCTGCTGTCTCCATGGTCCAGGCTGAGTCCGTGCGGGCGTTCATGACCTCGTGTCCGGTTCTCAGGGCTGCAAGCGCAATAGCTGCTGCTGGTGCGAGATCCACTGGAGAGCTGCTGCCCAGAACCTTTCCAAGGACCCAGCCCAGCTTCCACGCTCCTCCTGGGGGCATCATCTGGCGCCCGTAGTACTGGTCGAGCTTTTGGAGTGTGCACATCTGCCACTCGCGGCTTTCTGGTGCTTTTCCCATCGCATTCCCTGGACTCGGAGAATTCACCTCCTTCTGGCAGCATCATTGGACACCGAGAAGATGCATCACGTGTTGAAGGGGTTTATTTTACTTATTTTATTTTATGTATTATGCTGTATGAAATGTTTTATTAAATTCCGCTGTATATACTTTTTATCCCATACTAATAAAATTCTGCAAATTCAAGTCCCCGCCGTCTCCTTCCCGTTCACTGGTCTGGACATAAAAGAGCACTTCAGTGCGTTGGCTCAGTGCCACAGATGCCTAGCAGGCAGTATCCTGGGCGTGGTCCATCTTGAACCATGGTCCGTCCGCGGCTCAGAAGTAACAGATGTAGTGGTCCTTGTGGCAGGTGGGGCCCACGTGTACCAGCAAGGCGTAGAGGCAGTACAGCAGCGGCCCGCACCACGCTGCCGCAGGGACAGTTAGGGTCGCAGGTCCAGGCGCTCGGGGTAGCGCACGTCCCGCTCCACCTTGCTGCCTGCCAGTACCTAGAGGCACTTCAGCACCAGCGTGAGCACCGGGGGGCCACGTGCAGTTGCAGCGTCTTGGTGGCTGGCACCTTCCATCGGCCCTGTCCAGCCGCTCGGGCCTCACCAGCAGGTTCAGGGCCTGGGTCACGCTCTGCGCTGTCTGGATGTCCAGGTAAAGGTCCAGGGTGTCTGACACGCCATGGCAGTGGAGACACTGGATCCTAGATCTCCAGTGGCCTCCAAAGACCTGGTGGATCAGGGTGGCGTCCTCCTGGAAGGGCCGCACCGGCAGCTGTGGCAGTGGCGGCTGCGGCCGCTTCTCCTGCACACAGGCCCGTTGCAGGGCGTCCAGCGTGAAGATGTGGAATTCGTCAGCGTCCTCCTGCCAGCCTGCGTGGAAGCCCATGAGCAGCTTCCCCTCAGGCACAATGACGTCCCCGGGCCACAGGAGGGCCCGGGTCATGTGAGCCTGCAGGGCACACAGGGTGCAGTATGCGGGCTACCCTTAGGCTCCGGAGTGCAGCCCTAACAGCAGGTAGCAGGCCATGGGCAGGGTGTAGCTGAGGCACTGCAGGGCTGAGTTCATGTAGCAGGTCTTGCGGAGGTTCTGGAGGCCGGCCCCCTCCGCGCGGGGTCTCCCCTGGCTTCAGCTCCCAATCGGAGGGGTCTCGGTGGGAGCCAGTGGGCCCGTGGGTCGCACCCTCTCTCCCGGGGCTGTGGAGATGGTTTCTGAGGCCTGCGGGGTCCCCAGTGGACTTTGGCAGCCCCTTCACGGAATCCAGCGGATTTGAGCTTCGGGGGCTGCCTGACTCCAGACTCTTCTTTTTTGTGCACAGAGGCGGCCTCCATGTCCCCGGATGGGGATCTTTGCGAGATCTCTCCCCTGAAAGCTCCCTTGGAGAATGAGGAAGAGCCCAGGGCTGAGAAGGCCTGCAAATGAAGGCCCTGGGCGGCTCACCAGCCCTTTTATAGCCCCAGAGCCTGGTGGGAGAAGCCACGAGCTCCACCAATCAGTCGCCCCCAGGACTGAAGGGTCACCGGTTGGGGTCAAGTTTAGAGTGGGGGTGCTCATGCCCAGGCAGGCCCTGGCATGCCTTTCAGTTGGCATTCATAGAAGGATCTCAAGAAGAGGATCTCCTGAACATGGCTGTGCCCTGCACCTGATGCCTCCTATTCCTCCAAGGGAAGATGCAAAAGGGGGAGGGGGAGGGAGAAGGGAGACGCAGACATACCTAAGCTGGCCTTGGAAGTCATGGGACCCAAAGGCTGGAGTTGATGTGAATAAAATGTGTATAGGTTTGTATATTGTCTCTGAACCCAGGACGCCAGAGGCCACCAGCAGCTGGAGGCTGCAGGCGAGGTGCTCCCCAGAGCCCTCAGATGGAAAGGGGTCCCGCTCGCACCTTGATCTGTGACTCCTGGCATCTGGACTCTCAGGGAATTCCTTTCTGTTCTTGTAAGCCACCTCTTTGGTGGCAGCGGGACATGGAGACTCTAGGAAATGAATAGGATGCCGTCCTTCAGAAGTGCCCTACCTATGACGTCTGTTTTTCAAAACCATTGCATCCAATGAGGTCAGTTGTACTGGAGGTGTGATCAGAATCTCAGCTGAGCATCAAATATGATCCACAGGCCCGAGTCACCAGGCAAAAAGCCACAGTGAATCTCCTAGACGTGGGTCACTCAGCAGAAATCTTGGTGGCGGACCTTGTGCTACCGGGTGTTTTGTGTGTGTGTGTGTGTTTGTGTGTGTGTGTGTACATCCGCAGTCACGCACGGACACTCCTTGATTTGAACGGTCCGTCGGCATCCATGAGCACCCTTCAGCCCCTGCCTTCTCACAGACAGCGCCCCCCGCTTGACCTTCCCCCTCGGGTCTACCCAGAACTGGGCAAGTCCAGGCACCTGGCTCTGCCTTCCCCATAGGAGGCTGCAGGAGGGGGGATTTCATTGGCGCCCCTCGACCAACAGAGGGCGCGACAGGCCTGCTGAAGCATTTCCAGGACTTGTAGAGGACTTGGGAGATTCCGCATGTGTCTGAGGAGCCCCACAGGGGACCTTATCCACGTCTTGCGGGGCGGCATCACTGTTTCCTGGGTCGAAGAGAGGACAATACATATTTAGACAGGCTCGGGTGGGCCCAGGACAACCATCTTTGGCAATGGCGGGTCCGCGGCTGTGCGCTATGGTGGAAAACCTGGAGGACGCTTGGGCATCTGGTCCCACGTTTCCCAGCCTCTCCAGGGTGGCGAGAGCAGTGACAGCCCACCAGGGAGGGATTAGAAATGTTTTGAGGCCTCTAGTGAGCCATACAAGCCTCCCCGGGTGTGTGGAGCTGCTGATCCTGGGAGGGTATCCGGACGTTTTTGTGCATTCGCGGCCATACTGAGGGCATAATCCACCCCGGTTCACAGCAGCACAGCTGGACATGCGCCTCAAAGGGGGACATGGAGCCAGACACTAGTCCCAGGAGTGGAGACCCAGCTCCATTTGACAGAACTGCGGCCTGGAAGTGCGGGTAGGTCTGGGTAGCGTGCACCGCGGGCTGTTGGGCCCCAAAACGCAGGGCACGCCTCGTGAACAGAGACTGAAATCAATGCGCACAACAATCGGCCCTCAGACTGAAGCTTCACCGATTGGATTCTGATTCAGGACAACTACCTGGGCTGCAGGCTCCATCCGTGACCTTCCTTGGTCGGGGTGGGTGCGGTAGGTGACCTATATTTGTGTCTCTCTCACATTGAAGTTTCTCTGTCAGTCTCTTTTCCTCCATTTCACCCTCCCTACAGATCAATGGGTAAGTATCCTTGGGTGAGTATTTCCTAAGGAAAAAAAAAAAAAGAGAGAATACCTACACGGGTTCACGAGTATCGAACTTTGCCATAATTGCAGAGTCCTTGTCCTGGAACCCTGGAACGTTGCCCGCCCTCCCCGCTTCCCCACCCTCCTCACCCCCACCCAGTGCTCAGCCCAAGGCTCTTTCGCAGGCCCCTCGCTGCGCCTCTCCTGCTGCTGAGATGAGATCACTGACATGTGGGCAAGGACCTGTGCCACTTCTTCTTCCTCCTGTTCACCTTGGCTCCTCCTTTAGGACCAGGGCCTTGGCCAGTGACCTTGGGCCCCCAGGGGAGGATGTCCCCGGCTGGATGGTTAAGCAGGTGGTCGGTCCTGCCCCTTCTGCTCCGGGACTGGTTAATGACGATGGCTTGAGCGGGCAGGGCACACTCGACCTCCCTGAGTTTGAATTCAGGCTTCGGTCGGGATTGTTCCTGGAGCAAGTGCCACTGCTGTAAGCTGGTGTGCTTGACCGGAGCCTGTTGCACAGGCTCCTAGGACCCGGGACCCGTGAAGTGGGGGGCACTCTCGGGCCCCCGTGGGGTCGATGTTGCAACCTCTGGCTCCATCCCAGGGCAGCGGGCTTCCCCGCTGTCTCCTTCCAGTTCACTGGTCTGGACGTAAAAGAGCACATAAGCACATTGGCTCAGGGCCACAGAAGCGTTGCAGGTGGTCACCTGTGTGTCGTCCATCTTGAACCACGGGCCGCCCACGGCTCAGACGTAGCAGAAGTAGTGGCCCCTGTGGCAGGTGCAGCCCGCGTGGACCAGCACGGCGTAGAACCGGTACAGCAGTGGGCCCACGCCAACCCCCCGGGACAGGTAGGGCCGAAGGTTCAGGCGCTCGGGGTAGCGCACGTCCCGCTCCACCTTGATGTCCGCCAGCGCCGAGAAGCATTTCAGCACCAGCATGAGCACCCGGGGGGGGGGGGGGCCGTGTGCAGGTGCAGCGTCTTGGTGGCCAGCACCTTCTGGAGGGACGCGCTGCACTTGTAGCAGTCGCCCCCGTCCAGCCGCTCGGGCCTCACCAGCAGGTCCAGGGCCTGGGTCACGCTCTGCTCCGCCTGGATGTCCAGGCCGATGTCCAGGTAAGGGTCCAGGGTGTCTGACACGCCGTGGCAGCAGAGACACTGGATTCGAGATCTCCAGTGGCCTCCAAAGACCCGGTGGATCAGGGTTGCGTCCTCC